AGTCTAATTTTCCAGAAAAAAGAATTATATGCTTCCTTAACATACCCGCGCAGACAGACGGACATGAGTAACAACAATATACCCGAACTTTCTTTAGAAAGTGCGGGTATAACAATGCCCATGTTGTCTTTCTGTATTACTGTATCGACCCGTTTCTATTGCCAAATGATTGGTGGTGTCCTGTAGATATTCAATACCGTTGACAACAATATGTGCAGTGATGAGATGGGTAGTCGACTATAAAATACATGAATGTACAAAACATCATTATGTACGCTCACGAGTCTGTACACAGTTTCCCATTAAAGAAAGTATACAGAGCTAGAGTATTCTACAGTATTCAGACTATACACTTCTAATTTGTGATTGGTAGAAATTGCATGATGTGGAAATTTTCAATAATTGGATGATTGAAATGCTGTTTAACTTACAAGTAATATAATAATTGTAGGACAAAAAAAATTGAATAAGTGAAATTAAAAGGAATGAAAACTGACACTTTGAAATTTTCACAGGCAACTTTTAAAAAATGTTGTTATAAAAAATGTAACAATTAACTTATAAATGCCATCTAATGTGCTGTGTACATTCCTGGTAATGACGTCACACATGTGATGAGGTCATAATAGTCATTACATCGTTGTGTATTTTGTATTGTATTGTTATCATGTAAATAACCAAGTTACTTTTAGATAAAGTGTTTGCACCGGAAAGATGTGTCAGTTTTCATTCGTTAAAGGTATTTTTCTTTTTTTCATGCAAACGTTACAATCTCCCTTTTTTTCTAAATTTTGCACCGTGCTTCGTATATTGTTGAGCAATGTCTGTAAAAATTTATTTCAGAATTACAAAGATATAAGCTACTAAAGAGTACTATAGAGTAAACTGTCAGTTTACTGTTTAGATTTACTTCCTAAAGAGGCAAATCTTTTCGTAAATAAGAAAACAATTGTACCTTGTGCATGTATAATAAAGGGACTTAGCATTTACCATGTAATAGGCAAAATTTTGGATTTCCAAACATACCAGTTAGAAGTCTCATTGTATAATAAAGAACAGAGTTGGATAGTCAGAAAATCCCCATAAAAATATTTACTGAATGTTAAGAAAATTTCAATTTTTTAAATACTGATTTACACAAAGTTTGCTTATGCATGTGAATGCATATCATAAAATTTACGTGTACATTTATACATGAAGAGTAAAGCTTTGCATAGTTAAATTTTACTGTTTAAAGATTGCATCTCTAATTAAATGTGTTCATGTAAATGGGGTTGTTGCTAACAAAAATGACTTTTTTTTATAAAGGAAATATGCCATACAACGAAAGTTGTATGTAACATACATTTATTATATATAATAATATAATATATATATATATATATATATATTTAGAGAGAGAGTCAAGAGAGAGAGAGAGAGAAGCCAGAGAGAGAAGAGAGAGAGACACAAAATTTGTTTGTTTACCAAGAGAAGAGGAATATTTTAAAAGCAATAATGATTGACTGCGTGGCGCAGTGTTAGAGCGTCTGCTCTTGAGACGTGAAGTTTGGAGTTGTTCCTTACGTCGCAGGTTCGAATCCAACTGTTGGACGCAGAACCGGTCCTCAAATGAGACCGTATAAACCGAGGTCTTGTGTCGTAATAGGTGATGGCACGAAAAAGATCCCAAAGGCTGTAAGTGCCGAGTGTAGAACAAAATTTGTAGCTCTCCACCGGCAAGTGGTGGCGTGTCGTGTGAGTGAAAAATTATCGAGAGGGACTTTTAAAAAGTAAAAAGTAAAAGCAATAATGCATATTGACTATTTTTTTTCTATAAAGCCCCACCCTAACTCAAAAATCTTTGACCCTGGGGCCATGAATTTCACAATTGTGGAAAGAGACACAATGCTGGGTTCAATCCTGGTTTCAGTTGGAAAGATAGAATTAATTTTGAAGGTTTTAGTCCCACTCATCAGTCCTCAGAGTGGAGTGACCATGAAATTCATAAATTTGCTTCCCTTCACCCATAAATGCAATCGACCAAAATTGACTGAAACTGGTATAGTGGTTTCAGAAAATCTTCAACTGTTAACGCTCGATGTTACCGCTACATGTATGTTAATACTGAAGGACAACAACAAAAACAGATAGCAATAGGTCACCTAATTGACAAAAGTAACCTGAAATATATTAACGCAGGACATGAATGATGATAATAATAATAATTATTTCAGTTTTATGTAATTTGTTTTTCATTCCCTCAATATGGAGGATTTGAAATGCAAACTAAGTTAATAAACATAATATAATAAATATAACATTTAAACCGGACATCAACATTCTTTTCATTAAAATTTCACTGCATGGCATTAACCATTGAGTCCTCATTTCATCGACTAAAGGGTGTTATTTTATCCTTTGAAGTATATGATTTTTTTTTTTAGAAACATATTTTAAACAGATGAAAAGTGGATATTAAAATCACGTGACCAAACGCCTGGACGAGGCAGGTAAGTTTTATTAGTATAGTTTTAAAGGAGCCGTGCAGTATTTACAGGTAAGAAAGAAACCCAATAATTAATGTTTTTCACTTGTAAAATTAAAAAATTCTGCTTTAATTAGATATGATTTCCAATAGAATCAAATAATTATAAGGTGATAGAGTTAGCTAGTCTGAGAGTAAAAATGTAGATAAAACCATTAGAAAAATCTAAAATTCTTTTACAAGACCATAGGACATTAAACAATAAATTGCAGTGTATTTACCTCTGGAAATTGTTATGAAATGGTAAAATGTGAAAATGGTAAAAGGTTAATTAAGATTACGAACAATGAACACTCGATGTTGAATGAACACTCGATGTATAAGTTGATCATATTTTTTAGAGACTGATCAAAAGGTGGGTTAGTTAACGGGCGTTCGCTTTTTGATCTGTAGGCTTTGGTTCGATTCTCCCTGCCCCGCGTCAAATCTAAGACACAAAAACGGGTAGTGAATGTCAATTCCTTCATCAAACGTCTGGCATTAGAAGTGAAAGTCACAGATTATTTTGATGTTACTTTGAAAAAAAAAACAAGTTTCTTAGCTACGATAGGCTATGGCACGATAATTAACCCTTACCGCTCCTTGGCCCAGAATGTCGAGTAAATTTAAAGGCAAAAATTTAAAGCCCTTCATGGTTACATTTTTCAATATATCCTCCCCTAACTAGGAAAATTTAAACACACGCTAAGGGTGAAATCATATTTTATTTGTCTTCCTTCTTTGTTAAGTAACTACATGCATATATATTATATTTAAGTTTGAATAGACTAGAAAACAATGAGTAAATTAGAAACAAGCTCTGAGAAATTATTGATAATTTTCCGGTGCAGATGTCACATACGTTTACAATGCATTGTCACCATAATTAAAACTACTTCTGAGCAATCTGAATCATTTAGTACAGTGTATGTTTAATACTTAATTCCATAGATGACTGCAAAAGATAAACAACTAGTTCAACGGTGATTTAATTATAAAATAGAATAACATGACATTAGGGGTAACAACATGGAGTTTAAAAAGAAAATTGAGACGTCAAACGTATACTGATAAAATTATTCCAAAGTCTCAATCCGGTAAACCCTAATTACACCAAAATCAATTTAAAATAGATATAAGAAAACGCTAAATATCAACGATTATGCAGAGATTTTCTTGTTCTCAAAAGTGTATTTTAAGAAAAATTTATGTATTTTTGCGTTGTTTTTTTTCGACTAATAGGATAGAATGTATATATGCGCAGTACTTCAAGGTAGGGACAAAGAAAGACCATTGTAAATGTTAAGTGTCATTCAAATTAGGTAATTCTAATATCCGGTTCTTCAGATTGGACCGTATAAACCGTATACATTTTTTTAATAAAACAATTTTAAACTCACTGAAGTAAGTACAAAATTCATTCTAATGTGTTACTCAACACTTTAGCTTTAAAAAAAAAATAATTAGAAATCAATCACGTGTTGTAACTTTGACAATGTCTGTTTTTTTCACAGATTTTATGTGTTCTGCATTCATATTAAATAATTTCCAGTCTTTTAAAACAATGTTTGTTTCTTGGGTTTTCATTCCATATAGTATAACTTACTTCTAAATCTATGTGCTACATACTGTAATAATATTTATCCAAAAACATATGTGATCTAAAACTTTTGGTGTACAATACACTTTAATGATGATAGGCATTATTTAAAAAAAAAAAATAAACGGCCACCGTCTAAGCATGAATGGTTTGTATGAAATTGGAAGGCATTCTTATATCTGTACATCACACGTGTTTTTTTCCACCCAAGATGGAAAAGGTAAGCAGTTTAACACAAGAAAAAAACATTAATATAAGACATGGAGATAAAACATCTCTCTAACACACACACTATCACTCACTCACTCTCATTTTTTTTCATTCGTTATTGTAGTGTCATATGTGGATTTTTCCAAAACGTCATTAATGGACCCTCGGTATTGTGCTCAAGACATCATTAGATGTGACCTCTGTGAGATACATGTGGTACAAAGTCATTGTGAGCTTTGTCATGTCAACCTGTGTAAGGCCTGTGTAGGAGAGCATCTCTCTGATTCAACCAAAAAACATAGAGTCGTACCATATAAAGAAAGAACCTCAGCTCCTAACTATCCAAAATGTCCAAAACATTCCAAGAATTGTGAACTTTACTGTGAGCAATGTGACATTCCTGTCTGCTCTATCTGTCTGTCCTTGGGTAAACATAAAGAACATCTACTATCCGATGTTTTACAAAAACTCAACTTCAAAACAAAAGACTTGGAAAAAGAATTAAAAGAACTTGAGACTAGAATTTACCCTAAATATGAAGAAATTGCGTCAGGGATAAGATCCAACAAAGACAATTTGGAAACACACTACAGTAGATTAACGACAGCTGTCACCACACAAGGTGAAGAGTGGCACAGAGAAATTAACATCATTGTTAACAAACAGAAATCTGAAATTGATGAGATGAAAACTCAACACCTGGCTGCTCTAAATAAACAGGAAAATGAAATCAAACAGATTGCCGCAGAAGTGAATCAGTACATACTTGATCTGAAGGAAATACTCGACTGCAATGAAGCGTCCTTAACCTTTGCGTACAAATCCAGAAATGCAGAGTTCAGACATTTACCTCCAGACCTCGATGTATCATTACCAGGTTTCTCTCCTCGTCAGATCAACACAGAAGTGCTCCGTAAATTGTTAGGTTTTCTGTCACCATTATCCATTACAATAGAAGATTGCATGTACACATTCAAACCACTGCTTGATGAACCAGAGCTCATTGCCACCATAGACACTGGGTATGCAAATCTTAACAGTGTTGCCTGTCTCAGTGATGAAAATATCTGGACATGTGGTGATGACAAAATTATTAAACTCTACAACTTCCAGGGCAAACTACTGAAGTCAATCAAAACCAAGTCAAGGAGATGGCCAGCTGACTTAACAGTGACAAATTGTGGAGATCTAGTTTATACTGATAGTGAAACAAGAACTGTAAATGGCCAAAACTATACAATACAAAAGATATTTCAATGCTTTCAAGATGATAAAATGTACGAGGCTTTATTAGCGCATTGACTGAAAAAAGCTTTGACTTATTCACTTAATGTGGTAGTGGCAGATCTCAGTGCCATTATAAAAAGTCCTACTCCTATTAAACCTCAAATCATTGGTAGATTTGGTAGACTAACTGGTATTAGTATATCGTGAATTAATTGATGTTTTACTTGTATTCATTATATAGATCCTCATTTCAAATACTAAAGTCAATCTTTAATAAAAATCAAATTTACCTCTTTTGTTTGACTGGTGGCCCGAGCCTTGTTTGAACTTTGACACCAGAATCTCTGCCATCTGGGTTACCTTGACATTAGACTGAAGGTCATAGTTCAGCTTGACTTTGATATCATCATTATTGTCCACAGTAAGTTTGTTGGCAATCTCCTCCATTGGTAATTGGAAATTTCTTGTTACGATATTTTTTTTTTGATTGTTTGATTAAAACTTGATATTTGCATAATATGTACATAGATTTTTTTTTCAATATTTAAGAAGGTCTTCAGCTAGATAAATTCGTAACAAAGTGAGTTAGTGACCTAATACGGAGTCATACAGGGTGTGAAATAGAAATCCGTATTGGACGAGGCGAAGTCGAATATGACTTCATATCAGGTCACTAACCGACTGTGTAACTAAAAGTATTGTTTATATTTCAACAAAGTAAATAGTTCGCAGCTAGGATAAGGCTGTCCGTAAAATATCAAACCGTTCAAACTGTAGTTACTTCTCTGAATTACCTAGATATGACGTCATAATAGAACATGACGTCAAGTCACTGTAACGGGAATCCCGGCAATAAGAATTTGAAGAACTTTCTGGTTTTATAATTTCTTTTATATCAATAATTATATTGGCTCTGAAATTAATATAAAATATACAATAACATTAGAATGGTACAATAAAATATAATAGTAGATATACATAGGAGTCATTATTCAAATAGTGTCATAAATGAATATTTCACTCTATGGAATGTTGTTACACTATGTATGTACAAAGGGCAATAACCCTTACAAGCTCAATCTACTTTCCAAAATCGTGAAGAGTTATCTTTCATATATAATCAAAATAATAAAACAGTAATGCATTCCGGTTTGTGGAACCAAGTCCATCTGACATACTGTATGGATCTTTTCAGATATGGTGTTACAATGTTTCTGTACTGTTTCTGTCAGTAAGTCAGTATAAGATTTCAATATTTCAATAATTCACCAGATCTAGCTTTCTACGTCTGTACATGTCTAAAACTCTGATATCTTTTAAACTGAGTAAATATCACACACTAGACAATGTAAAACCCTTGACCAATGAAATGTAAATCTTCAACCAATGAATGAATGTGTGTGTGAAATGTATAGGTGGATCAAGAGGGATGGGTGGTAACACTTAATACCTCATTAGTAATAGAAAGACTTTAGATTTTAATTTATTTAACTATCTTAAATTTATTTTATTTATCACTTATTAAATTATTTAGTAAAATATACATCTACTACAGACTCCCCCCCCCATTAGTAAATGACGTCCCCGTCATTTCCATAATGGGCTATTACCTGGTTACATGCAGCAACACTATTCTTACAAAATACTGCATTCACGCTTCACTGCATCTGAAATATATACAAATAAAATCAAATTAATTATTCTTTAAAATATCAAGCATTGTTTGCACAATTTTATCCTCATATTTTTTCATTTCTTGGGACTTCTTCAAGTCATGTAGAAATTCACATTTCTTCATCCATTCCAGTGAATGTTGTTGGGTAAATACATATTCCTGGTTGCTCATCCAAGCAGGTTTTCTCCTCTCCCTTCCACTTCTTCTTGGTATCTGTCTATCTTCCCCTGACCTCATGCTATCATCTCGATCCACATGATCTACTTCTGCATCTGGCTGCTGATGCTGCTCATGCGGAATCTCTACCTCAGCAGTCTCCTGCTGCTGTTCCTCTCTAGGAAGTACTTCAGCATCCTGCTGCTGATGCTGTTCCCCTGGAATCTCTGTATCAGGTTCCTGTGTTCTCTCCTTACCCTCAACATTACCTGCATCATGATGCTCTTCTTCTTCCATCTGGTTCTGTATATCTCTCTGTACCGGTACATATACTACTTCCATTTCTCCATCTGAACTGCTTTCCTCATCTCTATGGGATATAACTTCATGAATATCCTCTTTCTCTTTACTCTGTAGTCTTGTTCTGGGTCTAGGCCTAGGTTTAGGAATTTCTTTTACCTTCTCGAGTTCTTCATGAGTTTTGTAATTGTTCAGCTGACTAATTGGGAGAAGTAGATTTCTATGTAGTGTTCTTATTTTACCCTTGGTTGTCTCTCTCTGGATCTGAAATACTGGAATGTTTGGATCTGGTTGGTCTAAGACTATATAAGGTTCTTCTTCCCATTTATCGGAAATTTTATGTTTCCCGTCAAAAGATACAATTTTAACTAACACCCTGTCACCTGTCTGGATCTCTGCTCCTCTTACTCTCTGATCATACCCTCCTTTCTGTTTCTCTTGAGCTCTCTTTGTATTCCTGTTGACTAATTCATATGCTGCCTTCATATTCTCTTTCAGGTCGTTGATATACTTTGAAGTTGACTTCCATTCTGTTTTCTTGATTCCAAATTCCTCATCTATAGGCAATCGAGGGTTTCTGCCAAACATAAGATAATAGGGTGATATTCCTGTTGACTCGTTTCTGGTGCAGTTATAAGCATGTACAAGGGGATTGATGTATAATTTCCAATTCTGCTTTTGTGATTGTTTCAATGTGCCTAACATATCAAGTAGTGTTCTGTTGTATCTTTCACATTGCCCGTTCCCCATTGCGTGATAAGATGTTGTTATTGATTTTTTCATTCCTGTAATTTCACATAGCTCCTTGATAATCTGACTTTCGAAGTTTGCACCCTGATCCGAATGTATTCTACTGGGAATTCCATAATAATTAATAAAGTTGTTAAATAATGCCTCTGCAGTTGTTTTCGCAGTCATATTCCTTGTTGGTATAGCTTGGGCAAATCTGGTGTAGTGATCTGTGATGACTAGTATATGCTGGAATCCTCCTTTACTCATTTCCAAAGTAAGGAAATCCATACACACCAACTCGAAAGGATATGATGATGTAATACTGACAAGTGGTGCTCTCTGATTGGTAGCTTTTCTGTGTACGCATCTGTTGCAGTTCTTAATTCAGTTGTCTATATCCTGATTCATTCCTGCTCAGTAGAATCTGTCCTTAATAAGCGCTACTGTTCTTTCTCGTCCTGGATGACCGAATTTATCATGAAGTTCTGATAAAACCTTGTCCTTGAATTTTCTTGGCAGAACTAACTGTTGATTTAATGTCTCTGCAACTGTTGTTTCCCTGAAAAGAATGTTGTTAATTAAATGAAGTTTATTAAAATTTCTTACCAATGCTTGTGATTCAAATCCAAATGGTAAGTCTTCCAGTCTTGGTTTCTGTTTGCGTCTAATAAAATAAATCCATGTTTTAAGAGTTGGATCTGAACTCTGTTCCTCATGCCAATTCATCTCCTGGTCAATAATCTTTTATGCTGACATGTTCTTGTCTATAACTGTTGAATCTATAGAAAAAGAAGTTATCAGTGGACCTGAATGTACCGCCTGACACACTTCTCTAATAGAATCCCTAGAAATAGACTGAAATTTATCATTAGAATTGAGTCTTCTTGATAATGCGTCAGCATCCTGGTTCTGCTTCCCTGGCCTGTAAAGAATGTTAATGTCATAGGCAGATAGTGCTGCCAACCACCTATGTCCTGCAGCGTCAAGTCGTGCTGTCGTCAAGACGTATGTCAGTGGGTTATTGTCTGTTAGAACTGTAAATTTGTGTCCGTACAAATAATCATTAAACTTTTCTGTGATTGCCCACTTTAAAGCCAGGAATTCTACTTTATGTACTGGATAATTTCTTTCGGCGGGACTCAAACTGCGACTTGCAAAACTGATGACTCTCTTTTGACCATGTTGCTCTTGGTATAACACTGCTCCTAATCCTGATTGACTGGCATCTGTATGTAATTCAAAGGACAGGTTATAATCAGCAAATCCTAAAATTGGAGGAGAAGTCAAGAGTTTCTTAAGATGGTTGAAAGCTTCTTCCGTTATTGTTTCCATCTGAATTCCATTCTTGCTTGTTTACGCATCTTGTCCTTGTTACATTTACTGTTGGTTTTTGGCATAAGTTCAGTTAACGGTTTGGAAATTTTGCTGAAATTTGGTATAAATTTTCTGTAGTATCCAATAAACCCAATAAATTTTCTGATTTCCTCTGGAGAACGAGGTGCTGGCCAATCTAAAACTTTTTGAACTTTTTCTGGGTCGGTTCCAATGCCCTCCTCTGACACAATGTGACCTACATATTTCACTTTCTTCATAAAGAGACTACATTTCTTCGGAGACAGCTTTAATCCTGCTTCTCGTAGTTTGTCGAATACCAACTGCAATCTTTGGATATGTTCCTCATAAGAATTGGAAAATACGATCAAATCATCTAAGAAAATAAAACAGATGTTCAAATGAAGATCTCCTAAGCAATTTTCCATGAGTCTTTGATAGGTAGCCGGGCTATTGGATAATCCGAAAGGAAGACGATTAAATTCATAAAAAGCCTAACGGTCCCACTGTGAAAGCTGTACGTTCCTTGTGTTTCTCTAGAATTTCAACCTGGTGGTACCCTGACTTCATGTCCAACAGAGAGAAGTACTTGTTTCCAGAAAGGACATTCAGAACTTCATCGATTCTCGGTAGGGCATATGCGTCTTTCTGGATTCGTTGATTTAGTTGACGGTAATCGATACACGTCCGTAACTTGCCATCTTTCTTCCGACATATAACAACATTGCTGGAAAATGGTGAACTGGATTTTCTTATCACCCTGAATCCAAAAGCATTTGTAGATGGTTTCTTATTTCCTCAAACATGGCTGGTGGAATTCTTCTTGTTCTTTGTTTGAATGGTGTCTGGTCTAGTAAATCAATTCTGTGTCTCACAGTGT